TTTTTTTTTTTTTTTTTTTAGTCCCCCCTCCCCCGCCCTCGTTTTTGTTAGGAAATAGGCGTCGTCGTTGGACCAACGGGCACTAGTCCACTGCCCACCATATACACCAGAGACAAAAATTATGGCAGTGTATCTTTCCATACTCTAGCGAAAGATTCATTCGTGGTCTGGGGAAACCCCGAGAGGGAATCATCTATTACTAGCCAAAGTCGAGGGCAGTTGCGTCAGTCACCCGCTGAGCCCGCTTCAGAGGTCCTCAACAGTTGACAGGCGGGCGTGCAGAGTGTTTCTTGTTACCCACGCGCTCTACAGTTTTTTTTTCCTGTTATAAATTTCATTCAAATTATTTTAAAGTAATGTTTAAAGAGGTGCTTCAATATGTCCAGCAAAACATAGGGTCATGCATAAAATTTGATTCGATTTCACGGACGCACAAGACCTGAAACATCAACCCTCTACGTTCACTAAAGGTAATTGTTGCTTATTGATAAACACTAGTGGGTTAATAACATTAATCCCAATAAAAAACCTTAATTGGATGATCAAGTAAAACTTCAATCACAAAATTTAATCGTTTTTTTTTTCTACCCCTCAAATTAACAAAAAATCCTTAAATTAATAAATATGTCAAGCTTTCAACTAAACAGTTTTTATTTTATATATTTTTGAAATACTTTGTTTATTTCTCTCAATCGAGGATTATTTAAAAAAAATAAATTACAAAGAGGTAGTAACATAGACTTCACTCAAGTCTGCTCAGAGAAAAACATGATTTATCATCAGATTATCAAATTGTCACACGTTGTAGTTTGATTGCAGAACTTTCAAACACCCTTCTCTTGTATTTCCCCTCACACACTCAGTTCTCTATACCTTCACAAAATTCATTTGATCAAGTTCAGTCAGATTTGGAGTGACAAAAAAAATCCAAAGTTTAAGGGGAAATAAAAGTTACGATAAATACGACCTTCTCTTAGCACTGTTTTTTTCGGTTTGTGGTGTCTCCCCAAAGGATCTAGTAATTATTCCGGTGAACAGCAACAGTTACGACCTTCGCTTATAGTTTTTCCTGCTCAACTAGTGGTTTTCTGATCTGGCGATTAAGAGTGATCTCAATAGCAATTTTTCTCAACTCATCCTTCACAAACCACCAATGATATGGAATATACTTGTTCAAATTTGGCACGGTTTTCACTTTGGCAATTCACCTTCTGATAACATCAATCAACAACCACTGTACGGTTGGAAAATGAAAATTGCAATCAAAGTTCTCATGCAGTTTTTGGAACCCAACGAGTGATGAGTCCAACGTTCAAAGGAGATATTGAAGAAGGATAATACATTAAATGAAAAGTGTTACACGTCACAGAGTGTCTCTTTGTTAACAACCCGGTGATCAACCTGTTTTGGCTCGTCTCTCTCCAATACATAAAGAGGGTTCGTCTATCAAGCCGAAATCTCGAATATCCTTCGTTAAAAAAACGAGCATACGATCGGAAAGACTTCATAGACTTGTTCAACACTTTCCCTTCCCATTTAATCAAATTCATGCAGAGTGTCGTTCATAGGATAAACCAGTTTTACTTTCAACCGGGGCATCGATTGGGATAGATGTTCAATGTATCACAAGAGAGCATTCTCAATGAAATAAATAATGCTTCAGAAAACGTATTGCAATACCACTCAAAAGTTGATACTCCGAATGTTATTTGTTTTTATACTTGTCCGGAAAACACGAACTTCAACTTCATAAAGCAGTAAATGGTCAAATGTGCAATGGCAAGGCTCCGATACTCTGATTTTCATACGCCTACTCGATCTCTATATTTATGATAAATGATGTTTAGAAGAAGAAAAAAATTTGTGTCGTACACTGGAATAGTTTCCTAAAGGTTCTCACCAGGTAAAAGAACCTTTCATCAATAACTCGAACGTCTGTTCCGGTTCAGAAAGCAAACTGAAGTATTGAAGTTTATCACCGACTATGGTCCATACATTCCGTGCAACAATTTTGCGATCACATGAGCAGGAGGGTGAGAATACAGTATCCCCATCGAGGGAGTAGACTTTACCCTCACATGTGCGCTAGTTCACATGATTTTACCAATTGTCCCGTCACTCTTGTTCATGAATGGATCCAGACGTCTCCTATCATATATGTAACTACATGAAAGAGGCGAAAATATAGAATATAAAGCCATCCTCCTTGTATATTCAAATCCACTATCTCTCTCTCTCTCTCTCTCTCTCTCTCTCTCTCTCTCTCTCTCTCTCTCTCTCGTGCACGTGCGCTCGCTCGCCTTACCACGCTTCAAGTAAACGTGGACGAATCAGCAGCGAAACATGAAAGGATTCACTGCGATTTTCAATGCCTTCAGCGTGCTGTATCTACATATTCACTCACCGATTTAGGAGGAAAAATGAATCTTCAACAAAAAATTGAAATGCTACAACGTTATTTATTTATTTTTTTAACTCATCGTAAGCCCGTTTCAACACGCATCATTTGAAAAAGTGTGAACGTTTTTTTACCCGAATGTGGTAAAATTTACTTATCTTCCTTCGTTTTACAGTGATATGAGCACAACGCACCGATGA